GAGAGGAGCTGTTATATACTGACTGTAACCCTCCATGCTCAATACCCCTGCGCTGCTCAGCAGGAGGTAGAGAAGTCAGGATTGAAGGAGTGAAGTTGAGTTTGAGAAGCACGGTGGGGAAGAAGGTGTTGTTTTAATTGTGGGTTTTTTTACTTCTTACTACCCATTTTAAGTGGCAGCACCTTACATTCATTTTTTCCCAAGTCAAGTCTGCCCATGATAGGGAATGGTAAGCAACCTCCATTTCTTTGTTTCAGCCCACGAGATTTCTCACCTTATTTTCTCCCCCTGTCCTGTTGAGGAACCAGAGTGAGTGAGTGAGTAGTTGGGTGGGTCCCTGACACTTTGTCAATGTTAACCCACCACAATGTAATTTTTTGTTACCTCAGAATAACATAAATGAGAGTACTGTGTTTGTCCTGAACTGATCAATATGTCAGGAATAAAGCAGTTACACTCCCTTGAGTAAAACTAAATACAAACTTTTAAATCCTATTGCAGATAATAGTTTTCTATTTTGATATGTATATCCTAGTCATGCTCTTTCAATACTCAGAGTTGTTTGATATGTGCACTTTTTCACATATGCATGCAGTCTCTGTTAAAACTTTTGGGAACTAAATTGACAGGTTACAAATACTTTGTATTTAGGCAAGACAGTAAGGAGAATTGTAGAAACATTCTGGATTTATGATCACAGAACCAGATTCACAGCATCATTAAGGCATCAGATTCACAGCATCATTAAGGCTGGAAAAGACCTATAAGATCATCAAGCCCAACCATCAACCCAACACCACCATGCCCACTAAACGATGTCCTGAAGTGCCACATTTATACCTTTTTTGAACATTTGCAGTGATGGTGACTCCACCACCTCCCTGGGCAGCCTGACCACTCTCTCCATAAAGAAATTTTTCCTAATATCTAGTTTAAACTTCCCCTGGCACAACTTGAGGCCATTTCCTCTCTTTCTATCGCTAGTTACTTGGGAGAAGAGACCAACATCCACCTCACCACAACCCCCTTTCAGGTAGTTGTAGAGAGCGATAAGGTCTCCCCTCAGCCTCCTCTTCTCCAGACTAAACAACCCCATTTCCCTCCGCTGCTCCTCATAAGACTTGTGCTCCAGACCCCTCACCAGCTTCGTTGCCCTTCTCTGGACACACTCCAGCACCTCAATGTCCTTCTTGTAATGAGGGGCCCAAAACTGGACACAGTTTTCGAGGTGCTACTTCCACCAGTGCCGAGTACAGGGACACAATCACTTCCCTACTCCTGCTGGCCACACTATTCCTGATACAGGCCAGGGTGTTGTTAGTCTCATTAGCCACCTGGGCACACTGCTGGCTTGTGTTCAGCCAGCTGTCAACCAGCACTCCCAGGTCCTTTTCTGCCGGGCAGCTCTCCAGCCACTCTTCTCCCAGCCTGTCGCATTGCATGG